ATCACTAGATCTGTATTAGAAAAATCGTAGCTGGAGTGCAATACCCCAATCATATACAAGTTAAAAATACCCTTATAGTATGTATATCAAGCCATTTAGAAACTTTTTCATGTCATCATCCAAAAGGGACAAAAGTCATCGCATAGACTTCTGTAGATGATCGAAGATGAAAAATTGCACAGCGAGAGGTATATACTGCAGGGCCAAGGTCTGCCATTTAAGGGCGTTCATGACTTGCTTAGCTTCACGATCTTGGAGATCACAATACGTGTATTATCACCCAGTACGATGACCCCCTTTATAGAGGTTACTAAGGCGTTTCACTTTAACAGCAAGCTCGCAACCGAAGGCCAGATAAGCGCCTACCGGGTAAAGCCGTCAGCACAGCAGGAAGGAAGTGACATTAAGCACTATCAGAAAAAAGCAAGAATTTTTTATGCTAAGCAAACAAGTGTGATCTGATCTACTTTAAAAAATACTGAAATGTAGAAGATCTGTTTATTTTTAAATTATATGTCTGTTGATGCTACGTTGCTTCAATTACTGCAGGATTTGATAATAAATAAAGCCTCTCGTAACTAAACAAATAATAAAATCTGCACTTTAGTGTTTGCTTCGAAAGCATTAGTACTATGAAAATATAGGGTGGTCCAAAAGTAACAGGAAAAGTAAAAAATTTAATAATTTGAAAAATATACAAAGTAACTCGATGCGGTTTTTATAGCAATGAAGAGAGACTTTTTTTTAATAATGAAGAATTTTACTGCCAGAGTGAGACTTTTTTAATAATGAAACATTTTACTGCCAGAAGAGTTACTTTTTACTTGCAGTCACAAATATACAGAGGTGGGCCAACATTATTTGACAGTACTTACTTACCACCAACTGAGCTGCTGTATCGCCTGTTATATGACTATCAGCATTTGTACTCATTTGGTGGGGCAGTCTATTATCGCTAAGCCTAGCTACAAATTTCTATAGAATATTAAAATTTAATTGAAAATTAAATAAATGTGTAGCTGGATTTATAAAGTTACTTCGGAAAATAGGTATTTGTGACCTGCGGTTATTTAAGAGACTCTGTCAAGACTTTGCTGAATTTTTTTTTTTTTTCTTTTTTAGATTGCTTTTTATTTGACAGTACTGAAAGAAGTTATTCGTAATCATGTAATAAGAATTACAACTGAAATTTTTGGGATACTATGCAGAGTATTATGACACGAGTCACGGCATAATACTCTGCATAAATAATAAATACGACTCACGGCATAATACTCTGCATAAATAATAAATAGATAAATAAATACGATCGGATGAGATTATAAAGACTGTGCCTAAAGTTAAGTTTTAAATAAACTATTTTTTACTGGTTGCTTTCCAATATATGTATAAAGAGTCTGCGCATTAATATATGTAGAATTTGACATCTTGCTTTAGTATCATTAATTCCTCGACAGCTATTATTAAACCAAAGGCCTCGATTTATCTGAGAATTTTGTATTGTTCTCACCTGAAAGCAATACAGAAGTAAGCTAGAGAAACTAAGGAAAGTCAAGGTCTTTCGCTGTGTATACCAGCTTCCGCCTTTTGCAGGACGTATCACACATCATTTGTGAACGTGGTTGACTGCTCTTTGAATGGATATCCTACAAAAAAGTATTCCGAGAGAAGCTTTCTGCACCGATGCGTAAAAATGGATGTACGATGGCAGGAAAAATAAATATTACGAAGCTCTTATCGCTGACAGGACTAGAAACAAGTTATATTACATATAAACCATAAAATAAAAATACGCTTTGTGTTGAGGTGGTTTTAAGGAAATTCATTTATGCCTAAAAATGCTTGCGAAATAATGCATTTTCCAGCGCAATGGTGTCTTGCTATTGAGATCACAGCTGTTATTCATCGATCAATAGCAAAGAAGAAAAGTCCATTCAAATGTAATTAAAACTGTAACATTCATCCTTGTTACACCTTGTTTGAATTTAAATCCCTCTGCGGAATTTCAGTGTAAAAAATAGATGCAGAGGCTTCGAATATTAGATGATAGTTTTAATACTCAGCGTTAAGGCTGGTTTGGGTTTATTCGATTATGGCAAAGCACTCAACGTTAATCGAAGAACAACGAAATAGCTACGTTACGCACGAATGAGATCCAGACCTGATAACAGTCTACGAACAAAAGCTTTTTATTTCAATAATGAAATATTGAATTTAACAATAAAAATAGCAATAAATAAGCAATATCTAATTACAAACAGTTATTTTTCAGCAACACAACTGATGAAACCCTCTTCAGAAAATGAGAGTGACAGAGGACTTCTACTTGGTATCCAAGGCGAGCTACCTACCTTCGGGAAGCAATATTCTTGGAATTGTTTCGATCGATGCTGTGCTGTGACAATTTGTTACCCAATTTGAAAGAGTTTATGACAGCAGCATAAGTTGGCCATAAGCATAAATTTATGGCAGCATGTTGGGACGTAACGCAAGCCATTCGTTACGTCCAAACAATAGCTAAGATTCAGTCACTGTATTTGCCTACGTAATTTATGACAATGATGTCTATCTTAATCTATAAAGTTTTAAATAACTATATCCTCTAGTTGCATCTGCTGCGGTTGAAAGAATATGTTGTAGGGTTTACTTTAATTTTCTAATAGCCTTTTTTTTGTGGGGGGGGGGGGAACAATCCCTTTCTTACCACCTAAGTATCCCTGCCAGAATGAGTTTTCAGGATTAAGTGGGCAAGCGTGTTCAGCCTTTCGGCCACGTTGTTGCTGCTAGTCTAAGCTTACTCTTCTACGACATTATTTCTACGTACTTGCTACTGTACGCCGGTAATCATTAAATAAGGGTCAACTTTGCTAGTTGATCTTGTGGAGCTTCGGATGGTTGGCTTTATTTAACATTAGCTAAGTTGGTACTTTTCCATTTTGCCGGCGCAGGCGATAAAGTCGCCAATAATGGAACAACTGATGCCAAACGGAATATCCTCCCTGGTAACCTTTTCACGCCTCATTTTCAAAACAAGTGGCAGCCATTTCTTATCAGATTGATTTTTTTTTTCAACACTGGCATAGAATTTTCACCAGATAGTTCGACCGCCTCATCCGCGACCATGAGCGCAAACACGCATGCTCCATTCGGACCGAATTATTCTCAAAATATGGTGGAAGGATGGGGACTTTCTTTCCCTCCAGTATAGCTCTTTCCGGAGAAGAGAAGACCTTTCACGTCGCAGCAAATAATACCGCTCCTTTTGGAAGAGTCTATGTGTTTTGGCAGAATGCCAACCAGGGTTGCGCTTGAGACGGTCGAACTATAGTTCAATTTTATGCCCTAAGGCCATTCGCGGTAATTAATTAAGTCAATTAGGATGCAATCACACCCCTCACCCGAAGGCAAAAATATAGAAAAGGCAAAGTCAAGAGTCATCAATTCTAATGAGAATGCACTAGCGAAGTAAAGCACTGCGGTTTTACATAATTTCTGAGTAAGCTATTCGTACAAATTGAAATAATTCTTGCATTTCAACTTGTATTCCAAATTAAGATTCAACTTGAAATTACTGTAGATAATTACTGAGAAAATTAGATTTTTGTAGCGTAAATTACGCGAGATGAGATCACTTGGGATCACGTGATGTGAACCGGCGAATCAGGATGTTAAACCATGAAAGCATAGTAATTCTAAAGTATTCTTAAATAATACTTAATAAGTAGATAGCATTTTAAAATTAATGACATTTTACAAATTTGTTGTCTTTATTTTTTGGCTTTTTACAAAATTTTAAACGATATTAAAATGTCTATGCCTTCAAAATAAAAAAATTTTTAGAACTAACATTTGTTAACGTTTTATATGCGTATACTGTGTGTTGTCGCCAATAAAGTCTGCTTGGCGAGATTTGCGCCGGCGAAACGGAAAAGTACCGATAAGTTTTATATTTTCTGTTTTGAGTTAAAGACCAAGTGGAGGCTTACTGTACGTCCAAGAGGGGCCGTCTGTTAATCTGTTTTGAGTTGGAATAAAATGTAATATAACCCTTATTTAGACTTACAAGAACTCAGCGAATAGTCGTTACACAGTTCTTCAGTATTCTAGCTTACAAGGAAATCTGATTTAGCTAGAATTATTAGAACGTAATATGAAATTCTCTCCTGACTAACTGTTGAAATTTCAAGCAAGAAATATTTTGTCATTATTTCAGCTTTCTAAAAATTTTGATTGACAATTAATGATAGCGTAATTCATTTTTAAACGTTTAACTTTAAGCAAAATTAGCTTGAAACAGGCTTTCCACAATATGTGTAAGAACCAAAATTTTATTTGTAATGTTTTTATCCTAAAGGTTCTAATAGATATGAACTGTTATTATATATAAGATTCATAAAAAATATTTTTATCATCATTTTATTACACTTTAAATAAACGCAGCTTTTCGGAAAACTCTTCAAAATGGAATTACACCTCATATATATATGAATCCGTCATAGACAATTCAGGAAGCAGGTAAGACTTATCTGTAGTTTAAGAAAGTGGTAAAATATAAGCACAATTAGCTATCAATTTGAATTACTTTTTTATTAATAGATAATGTGTGTTTATTATTCATTTGGCTGTATTAACTTTTATCTTAAACGCGCTTCTGTTGTGGCTATTAAAATTAAACTTTGACGAAATATTTTGCTTTTGCGAAGCATTTTGCATAACGAAGAGAGAAAGAAAGGCAGTTTTTATGACAATGATAAAGTACTGATTATTTTATACTGAACGTTTTGAGCATTTAGTTAAAACTAACAATTTCATTTTAGGTTTCTAATTTCCACGGCTTTTAAACAATCCATTATATCATGGAATGCAAGATTAGTGTACGAATATCCCTAGTGAACTCAAATTCGAATTTAAGTAAATTTCTATGACTTCAAGAAGCTTTCAACCAGTTTCACAGAATATTTTTAAAGATAAGCAGTAAAAAATGCAAGAAGTAAACATACTTGATTTATGTGCTCTAGGTGCAGTTCGACCTTCTGTTGAGCTTCTTTGAGTGCACTTCTGTCTTTATGATGAATAGGCGTAACCTTGTGCAAACGGCTGAGAAGCAACGGATACCTAGAATATATTACAAAAATTTGTTTTAAAAGCTGTGCACGACAGATGTTTTTAGCAAGAAATGAGTGTTTACGCAGGAAGATTTCATGGCGGTAGTGGAATACGTTTCAGCGAAAGCGCTAATGGCGTTCAAAAAAATAAAATAGTGCTGTCGCTCAAAAGAATACCTTATAGACGAACAAAATAAATCTTATTTTAATTTTAGACAGATGCTAGGAAAACCTGTTAAATCGTTATCATGTTGGACATGACGTGCTGAGTACAGACTCCAGCTGCAGGAGCTGGTGCAATAATTGCAAACCACTTTATTAACATTCTTGTCCAAATATAAAATAGAGGCATTTTACGTCTACGGAAAACCAACTCAGAAACCGATTATCTGGCATCAGTTTTATGGGGAAAATCAGTAGCATTACAATCAGCAGTATTAATGCATTATAAACAACCATCGGAAATTAAAAGGCAATAAAGCAACTTTAGCTTGTTCGTTCTCTAGAATATTCGCTTCGATAACGGTTAATTTAAAATCTACCGTGCTTAATTAAATTCTTGTTTTTCCCACTGTCTTATTTCTCTTCCTATTGATTTAACTAAAGAAAACTAGAGATCCATCTACATTTTTTAAAGACTTCAAACCAAGCACTAATTTGATGCCATACAATGCGTTTCTCCAGTTAAATTGAAATTAAAATGCTGTTTCCAATTAATAGATGGAAGTATTTCTTAAAGAATAAAATCTACACTTTTCTTATTTTCAAAACAAGTGTTACCTTTATTTCCGCAGCTTTATAAAAGTTCAAAGCATCTAAGAAAATTGTAGTAAATTATCTCAATATTTTTTTTGCACAGGCACAGGGAATTTTTTATAATTTAAGCAAATAAAATTGATATTTAAGAATGTATCTCATAAACAAAAATTTAGGCTTAAGTGGTTTATATTTAAAAGACGATTGCTTTTTTCCAATAAACTAGATACACTGCAAAACAACAGTTTTTATTAGAATTTCAGGAAATCTCCAACTGCTTTGAACTATTAGCGGTGTATTATTCACAATCCCTGCTGTATACAATCACAATATTCAGCCTACTTATTAATTAATTCTGCCTACTTATTTATAAAGTAATTAGAATCATTAAGTAATCAAATTACTTTCTTTATGAATAAATATCAGAAATATTTCCCTTAGCCTATTGCATTTTTTTAACAAAATAATACATCAGAGAAAATCAGTCAAAATTATTAGCTGCTTGAAATATTACATTACGAATAATCATCACTTAAAAGTAAAAGTACGCTACTTGAATATTTTCATTCATATCCTGTAAAATTAAGGATATTTCAGAAGGCGACAGATAACGATATTAAAGAGATAATCTTATTAACCTTTTAAGTTTTAACCTTTTAAGTCTTATAACCAAATTTTTACATTTTAATTTTAATGTACAAAGTAAAAAAAAAAAGGTTTTAAGTTAATCCATCTAGATCCACAATTTATTTAATTTAGTAGAAATATACTGAGAGAACAGAAAATGCGACTTCTCACTGAACAAGAATAGTTTTTAACAGGTATTCAAGAAGCGACACTATTATATGCGATGTCTAAATATGCTACTTTTAAAATATTTCACACATCTTTCATATGCTTGGCATCATTACGTAAATACCTCACTATTAATAAAATTCGATAAACAGTTAAAAGCACTTTAGTTATACAATGGATAATGATGAGTACAAAAGCAGACGACGAAAAATAAAGTTGAACTATCAATGACTTAAGTAAAGTATTCACAAGAGAATGCTAGAACAGGAATAATACTTGAGATTGGGTAAATCAATCAAATCGTGATTTCGTATTTTAAATAAATTTATTAACAAAATTGCAAGATGCAGAATATTGATAACTTACTCCGATAAAGATCACTTATTACAATAGCCTCTGAAAGGAGTGTAAGTGTTTCAATAAAATCCAAAAATCAGACAATAAAATTACGCACCTCGTGACCCTTTGTACAGGGACCATTAGAAATGCAGGCAAATTCATCCTGCGTAACAAAGTGTTCTCCATCTGTGAAACCCGTAAGAAAATTCTTAGTAATTCCTTTTCTTTTTCCAGGGAACTAAGAAGAACTGATGCGGAAGCCTGAAAAATAAACAATGAATGTTACGAATTTTTTATATATGTAAATAATTTTAAAGAAAGTATATGTAAGTTTTAGTATCTCTTGTAATGTAAGTTTTAGTATCTCTTGTAATGTAAGTTTTAGTATCTCTTGTAATGTAAGTTTTAGTATCTCTTGTAATGTAAGTTTTAGTATCTCTTGTGATGTAAGTTTTAGCATCTCTTGTAATGTAAGTTATAGTATCTCTTGTAATGTAACATGAGTCCTCAAAAGTGCGAAGCATCGCCCAAAAAACAGGTTTACAGGATTTAAGTCCATTTAAAATTGAGATAAATGGCTATCTTGCCAATCCAGGCTGACGATGGTTTTGGCGACTAATTTTTGTCACCATATTTGGCAAGAAATCTCCAAAAGTCACCAAACATGGCGAAATTTCGGTCCAATCCCTATGTAACTTAATGTGTGCGTAAGGCTGGGGGGAGCGTCAGCTTTCCATTTAGGTCATAACTGAGTAAATTTAGCTCAGAATATTAAGAAGATTGAAAGATCACTGCATGAGCTAATCATTTGAGGATTTTTGTATTACCTTGTATTCAACGTTCTTAGTAGTTTGATGTGATATCTACTGATTGTGCTTTGCCATACTGAGAAAAACTGATCTAATAGTTTTGTGTGAAGAATTGTAGGACTGTAAAGTGTTTTTGAAAAGAAAAAAACCATCAAGCTAGCATCAAGTCTGTGTGCATTTAATCCATTACGAACCGGTACGTACTGAATAATAAGTATTAGGTACACACGACATAAAACTAAGTTTATAAACGAAAGTCTTTGAATAAAATGTAAGGAGTATTAAATGGGGAAACATCGGAGGACCTTTGTGATTAACAGCTTTTCTTAGTTTGGAGATTTAAAAAATAAAACTTTTTTTAAAGATTTTCGGAACAGTTTCTATGCAATACTTAAACCGGACGGAGAGGAGGTTAATAAAATCGAAGTGAGACACAGTCTGAGGAAGGATGCGGAGGGGGGGTTAACCCACAGCATACACTTGTAAGAATCTCTACTTCAAGAATATGCGATACAGTAATAATAATAACAACAAGACATTATGTCCACGTGGGAAACTTAAGTTCTGTTTAATTACTGACCTTGTCATATAGTAATCTATCCCTATGATGCGAAAAAATTCATTGAACTATTAATATTAACTCTTCCGGATTGAAAGTATGCAAATTCTTCCTTTTCTTTAGGAAGCCTTTCAATGGCTGAGTGGCTAAAGCTGAAAACCATTAGTAATTGTATTCCGAATTCGATTCCCAGCCACTGTATTTCTTGGTTATATGGGAGTTTTCGTGGTTTTCCATTTACATGCTGTAAATACGAATCGTACTTAGTTCGTCCACGAAGGTATCCTTCCCTCTAGATACTCTGGCCTGAGATGCTTGGTCAGATTTAATATATGTAATCTTGCTCACTTGGATTCATCATATTTCGGATGAGTGTTATTGTTCGTATTTCTGACCTTCATATAGCGGTTCTTTCACGATGCTGTTAAAGGTTAGAAACTGTTCCCAGTCAGCGTACTCCAAGACCGTTCCTTTAGATTTCATATTATAAAAGAGTCAACGGAACAAAGGGAATCGCTTGAGATGTAATTTTATTTTCACTTCTTAGTAATATGTTGCGGCTAGTGCTATTTTATATTGTTAGTATAATAATTACAGTAGGGTTTTAATATCGTATAGCATGTCAACTGCAAGATTTCTAAATCTACTTCTTGGGTATGCTCTCCGAGTCAAAAAAAAATCTAATTTTGTATTAAGCTATAGATTATAATATTCTGTAAATAATTCATTTTTAAATTTTATTCAAACAACAGAGAGCTTTTCCACCATTGAAGATATTACTTTTACTTATACCATTTTATGTTAAAGAGAAAAAAGAAACACCCGAAACTCGAAATCATTCTTTTGTTCTATCTGAAAGCTGAATTTTACTTAACAGGAAAGATTTTTGCCTTTATCTTTCAGTTGGAAAAAATAAAAAACATTCTTCTTATTTATTTAACGGTCAAATCATTGCTAAAGTGTACTAAAGTGAAGACTCTAATTTGAAGTTTTCAGAATAAATTATTTTTGTATTTATATTAGTATTTTGATTAATTTATTTAGGACAAAGCACACTGCAACTGTCTGCCTATAAGCTTGGGTGCCTTCATGGATGGCCTTTTTATAGAACTTGATCAGCATTTGTGTGACACAGGAGAAAATCCTCAAAACCCTCGTCCCATCTAATTGCCGAGAATGGAGCTAGGACGAAATACCACAGTTTTGCATGCAGTTTTAGTTGTTTGGTAATTGGCGCCTTCTAATTTTGCTGAAGATAAATTACATAGGCCTCTAGAACTGAAATAAAAGCTCTTCTTATTTAAAATTTAACGTTGGCTAAGTTGAAGAATAATTTATTTTTATAGACTCTGAAAATATCTCATTATCGAAATTAAATGTTATTGAGAGGGAGGGGGCAGAAACTAGAAAAAAACGGTTTATTGTCTAAAGGCTTAAAGCGTTTTCTTTAAATATTTTAGAATGCATTATTCTTTTCCTGATTTACCTCAGAGTTAAAAATTATGAAATTTTGTAATGATAAATTTGAGACCTACTGAAAATAGAAAATAATCCAGTATTCGAAATTAAATTTGCATTTTCAGCGAAATTTAGAAATCATTATAACCATCAGTGTTTCATTCCTTGCATGTTAAACAAATTTGTGCAGTAACCAGAAATGAAGGTTGTCAAATATGAATAGGAATCTCATGAATGAAGTATAATTTCACTCAAGTATGAATTGAACGCAAAATGTTTCGTTGGTGCCAAATTTACCACAGGGATGGTGCCAACTACGATTGCCATCTATAAATATTTGTGATGTAACTATTTAAAACTCCATCCTGTTACTTCGTTGTAAATATTTATAAATTCAATTATTGACGCGATATTTTTAGACTTCTGATTTAACCCCACGTGGCTAGATAAGAAAGAGGATAAAAAAACTACTAGAGGAATTTCAAACTAAAACAGAATTTGGTGGTAAAAATAGAGAAAAATTATGGGCGAAAAAAGGTATAAACCTTGAATTTATTTTTATGCCTCAACTTCCTCGGATATTTCATAAATCATCTATTTGTTAAACAGAGACTGAAGCAAAGGTTTAATTGAAGTGCTACATTTTTGCTTTTAGTCAAAGATTTTAAGATTATCTGTAGAAATATAAAAAAAGAACAAAATTTGCTTATAATATTTTTTAAATCTTTTTTTTTAATTAAGAATTTGCCTACACTTTAAAAGTATCTTATATTTTTAATATGAGAAAGCAGTATTTAAAATTTTTACTTTCTTAAATGCGCAATATTCAGTGGGAGATTTCTGACTTCGAAAAAATATCAACACTTTGATTCTGATGTACGTATTACATTGTGACCAGCGTTCCTCTATAGCTATTTAGTTGATTAGCTGGGCATTTATTTTGAGCAAATGAGAAGCACATATTATGCGAAATATAGATGAAAAATCTTAATTTTTGCTTGTAGCTGTTTTAAATTGTCCAAGGAATTATATCAACTAGGAAATATAAATCCAGTCATCGGAGTGTAAAGGGGGTTTTAGCTTTTAATATAACATCCTACACATAGACAATTTTCTTTTTCCCTAGAATATAAAAATATGAAATGCATATATTTAGGTAAAATATTCGAGAAAATTTGATTTTATTCATATAAATTAAAATAACCCTTACATTCGTAATAATTCAGCTACATGATCTGCCTGTCATTCTGTTTGGTTTGAAATCTTTAGGAGTTAAGACGTATGAACACGCTCTAAAATAAACCGCAATGGTTGCGATGAAAATACAACTTTATTTTAATGAAAACATTTAAAATATCTATTTGGTACCTGAAAAATCTTAATCCGTGAGGTAATGTAAGCAAAATCTTGAAGACTTAACGATAAGATATAATGGAGTTTCACAAATCATTCAGTGTTACTATTTAGCTGATTAGTTAAAATGCTGATAGTTTTTATCCTAGATTACTTGCACTCCGGATTTAATTACATTATTCTATTATAATGCTTTCCAAACGGAAATTTCTCTTGATCCAGTGAAGAATTTATGAAATGGGGGAGGGTCTCTCATCTTGACTCATTAAAAAATTAATTATTGATTTAAAGGCCTCGAAGCCCTATCACTTCAGCAACTTACACCAACTCATTAAATCAACTGAGATGAATTATTATTTTCAAAGAAAGAGGCTGAAGTCTATTCTTCCCTTTCAAAGGGTGTGAAAAACCTACCATTTGGCAAGAGATCGTAAAGAATGGGTTAATCACATGTAAACGTAACTAACTTTAGACCTGTTTGATTTGCATAGTTGTAATTTTATTAGTTTACCTTAACTCACTAAGTTTGAAAAATTATAGTATTTTATTAAGCTTCACTAAATTACTGAAAATTTCCTTCATTTCCTTTATGCCTTTTCAGCATTGTCAAAACTTCAGTTAGTATAGAAGTTATTACCTAATTTAGCTATACTGGCTGTTTATTTGGTTACAGCCGAAAACGTCGCGGCAATAACATCACGGACGAAAACATCGCGGAGAAAACAACGCAAGGCGAAAACGTCGTGCTGCAAAACATCGTGGAAGAAAATATCGCAGTTCTAAAACATCGTGGTACAAAACATCGTCGTCAAAGATATCGTGGTAAAAAATAAAGTACCTACAAATCATCGCATGACGATAACATGGCAGACATGCTTTTTTCAGGCTTTAGTAACTGTAAATGGATATTTCCATAATGATTTGTGAGCGCAAGATGGAAAGAAGGCTAATTTTTACTTTCATATTTCTTGTTAACTAATAAATTTTTGCTGAGAAAATAAGAAGGAAACTTAAGCATAGAAAACTGTTGCAACTTATAGCACTTAATAGAATTTAAAAATTACATAGTTAACTAACAAAGGCCATTAATAAATCATTTTTATTAAAGTTTTTACTGGTAATTTTTATGAAAAAATTAATCTATAAGTTGCATTTAATTTTCTATGCTTAAGTTTCATTCTTACTTTTTCAGCAAAAACTTATTAGTTAATAAAAAAATGCGAAAGTAAAATTATCCTTCTTACATCTTGCGCTCACAAATCATTATGGGATATCCATTTACAATTATTAAAACCTAAAAAAGCATGTCTGCGATGTTATAGTCATGCGTTGATTTGTAGATACTTTTTTACCACATATTTTCGACGACGAATTTTTTTAAACTGGAAGTTTTTTATTGCTTTATTTTCGACGACGAGTTTTCACGATTTTTAGAACTGCGATGTTTTCTTTTTGCGATGTTTTCTCCCACGATGTTTTGTAGCACGACGTTTTCGCCTTGCGTTGTTTTCTCCGCGACGTTTCCGTCCGTGATGTTTTTGCCGCGATGTTATCGGCGGACGTTTATTTTCGTATGGTTACAAGTAAGGGGTCAATTTTTGCATGTTAAAAATCTTTCTTATGAATTTCGTACAAAAATTGTTTAATTTAATAAATTTTTTGTCAATAGGTTAATTTTGTTAATACGATGCTACTAGAAAATATAATGTTTTCCTAAGGAAATTTAAGCATATATATTAAGCATATAAATTTAAGCATATAAAAGAGAAAGATAATACCTAACTTTTATGTATTGATTCACAGAGATATTAATATTATCTTAAGGGAAAGAAGTTTGAGAAATACTCTAATAGTGCCACAGTGCGTGAAAGAGAAGCTAAAACTAAATATTAATGTGGTTTGGCAAATCCACTGTTGTATCCCTACCATCGTTAAAAAGCGGCAAAAAGAGTTTGCAGAGAAAATTAAATTTTATAAAGCTCAATTAATTTCAAAGAATTGTTTAAAGCTATTTTATTTCGATTACAGCACGGAGTACTTTCGAGATGAGATACTTTTCGAAATGGCTGAATTGATTAAATACTTTCGCAAATACACGAAAAAATTTGAAAAAAAATCTTTTAGGCATTAATTACTTTTAAAAGTCTGAAGATAGAGTTCAGTAATTAATTATCAGTATTTCAAGGATTTTATTAGTTGGGTCTCTGTAAGCCAGGAATATTTAAGAATTCAGGAACACCAAAAATCCTTCGCACCATGTAATTAAAAAATAATTTAATTTATATTATTAGGCAACGTATATATTGTATGTAATAACGTCTAATAAAGTGTTAAGTTTACGAATTTCACAATGAGGTTCAAGTTATGATTAAAAGTAATTGAACCCAGCTGTTTCTTACCTGCTTCACGCAATAGGTTTCGAAAGCATGTAACATGGAGGACGTCTCCAAGAAAATTTTTCCTAAATTCACTGTAGTATAATCCTGAAAAAAGGAAAAAAACCAAAATTAATGCAATATTCACCTTGAAGTTTAATGTTTACTTTTATGTTTACCTTGAAGTTTAATGTTTAGTTTTATGTTTACCTTGAAGTTTAATGTTTAGTTACGAAATTTATCACAGCAATTTCCAAACAATGCGTTACGAATGCCCGTATAATTATTCTCAGCAATTTAGGAAACACCGTTAGGATTGGTTGATAAAAAAATGACATTGTAGTAAATTTTAGAAATTTGCGCACTTTTTTTAATAAAAATCTGATGAAAATGAAACAGTAACAGTTCTTCAATAAAAGCCAAATGAATTTATACCGAGGTAGGGCATTACGATATGTCGCTAGAAACATTTTTGTAAATTACAATAAAACTGCAAAAGTTCGAAATTATCAACTGATATTACTATTATAAGTCATCGTACTTTCCCGCTTACAGGTTCGTTGATTGCGAGATTTCAAAGAAATAATCAGTTTTTATTTAGGTATATCAGGAGAATAAGTCCATCCTCCTTTTTTATTATTAACCAATTATCTACGGTTTAGATCTTTTAAAGAAGGGGAAATTTCTCAGTCGTGCTGCGAGGTACTCTGACTGCCCTCAGGTACGTTGACGATATTTTGCAGCCGATCGTACTACCTATGATAGCAGGTCATCCAGGTTCTATTTTCTAGCAGGACAACGCTCAGCAACATATAGCACGACTTTCTCAACAATGTCTTCAATGTGTTAATGTCCTTGACTGGCATGCTAGATCTCCAGACCTGTAGCTTATCGAACAGATTTAGACATGCTGAGCACACAAATTCAGCCGTGTACAATTACATTTCAATTCGCTGACTAATTGCTCCATTTTGGCCCAGTCTACCGCAGAGGGACATTGGCAACTTAATAGACACCCTGCCCGACCAAGTATCGGCTTGTGTAGCTGCCAGAGTTTGCTTTCCCAACTACTGATTTTCAAATTATTTGTATTGCTACTTGCAACTAAAACGTTATTTTCGGCCCAGTGTTTTGATCATTTGTTTATCTACTCGAAGACTATACTGCTGCCGAGTTTCGTAGTTGCGGTTCAATTCTTTCTGGGTGTATATATTTTTTTGCAGCAGAGTGTATATTAGAAAAAATATGATGGAGATTTAAGTTATTAAAAAGTCAGTTAACTGATTTCAGATCGCTCAGTTTGTCAGGTAGTTATAACTGATTAAATTTGAAGCATAAATTAAATAAAAGCCAAATGAATTTATACATTAATTCATACATTAATTACAATTACTAATATTATCTTAAGGGATATTAATAATTGTAATTAATGTATGAATTAATGTATAAATCCATTTTGCCCAGTCTTATGTACCCAGTCTTATGAATTAATGTATAAATCCAGGATATCATGCTCCATTTTGCCCAGTCTGTAATTGCTCCATTTTGGCCCAGTTTACCGCAGAGGGACATTGTCAACTTAATAGACACCCTGCCCGACCAAGTATCGGCTTGTGTAGCTGCCAGAGTTTGCTTTCCCATCTACTGATTTTCAAATTATTTGTATTGCTACTTGCAACTAAAACGTTATTTTCGGCCCACTGTTGATCATTTGTTTATCTACTCAAAGACTATACTACTGCAGAGTTTCGAAGTTGCGGTTCAATTCTTTCTGGGTGTATATATTTTTTTGCAGCAGAGTGTATATTAGAAAAAATATGATGAAGATTTAAGTTATTAAAAAGTCAGTTAACTGATTTCAGATCGCTCAGTTTGTCAAATAGTTATAACTGATTAAATTTGAAGTATAAATTAAATGCCTCATGAATAGATTATAAAATCAGAAGCACATACATGTGTAAGGAAATAACAACTATCAAATATCCGCTTCCTGTCAAACTGTTTTGACTCATTTAAATAATCTAAGAATTAACGAATGCAGTTATACTGAGTAATTTCTAAACTGAAAATACGTTTCCATTTTACATCTTTTCGTTATTGCAAATTCCATTAGGTAACTAAATTTTGCAAGTTTCAATTTTATTTTTAACATTCATATTTGGGTATATTTTACATTATGGAGGAACATTGAAGAAATTAATCTTCAAGGGTTGGTAAAAGTTCCTATACAAAAGAGAAATAATCTAAGATTATTCTTATTTTTTTACTCTAATAAACCTTTTAGTGGATAAAGAAATATTAAAATTCATTTAAAATATCGGTATAATCAGATTATAAGTAGAGTTTCTGAAATGAAAATTAGTCAACTTACTTCGTCTCCATGTTCCGTGGCAATATCAAGGGCATCCTGAAGTTTTTCTGAAAACTTTGTATTAGCTGAAATCAGTTCATCTAAGTTCAGAAATATGCTAAGTAGTTGATCCTTCGCTAAAAGACCGGCTATTTCCATAGGTCTATAAAATTCCTGTAGGAAAAAAAAAGAAAAAGGCGTGGCAACAAAAGTACTAGATGAAAATTAATAATGGATAGTTAATTTTCTGAATTATACAAGTAACTAAATTTGGCATATCAGCATACCTATGCCCAAAAGCGGCTTACAAAATGTACAACAATCGATAAGTTAAAAAAGTGCAGGCATTTGTTAAATCATTTGGACTAAATTCGGCGTTAAATTGGACTTGGTAGCAACTGGCGGTTTGAAAGTCAGAATAATTGTCAATAAAATGCACACACTATAAAAAAAAAAAAAAAAAAAAAAAAAAAAAAAAAAAAAAAAAAAAACGACATTAGTGTGTTACATGTGGTGATCATGTACCGATTGTAAATTCATAAAAAAATTATTACGAAATGGACTGATCGTTTGCTCTTGTTGTATGAGCCCACTAGCGCCTTCTTTTTTTGTTTACTGAACTAATAGTGTTACTTACTACAGCTTTAAATACTACAGGAAATCTTTAAAAATTTTATTAACCGAATCTACCGTATCCTAAATATTATATTGACTGTCTCTGTTGTTTTGCTGTTAATACACATATTGTTAGCTTTCATCATGTTCTGGAATTCACAAGATAATATTCTCTTACGACTCGAATATTCGCATATTTTCAGATTGTTTATAATTAAAGGAGTAATAAATTTATTTTCAAAATAATATCTAGATTTAATTAAAATCGCGTATTAAGTTTTTCACGTATTTTATAAAATAAATTTCTTCACATTTCAGGAAAATCAGCATTGCTATAGCATCTTAACCACGAGACTATGCGTTTTTGTTAATACATAAAAGTGAAAATTTATCGTACAAACAATCTAAATGCTTATCACGATTTTAAGCTTCTATTATATTATCAGGTTTCTATTTTTCAAATCAGGATTTTAGTGTTTCGTTTTTATTTTTTCACGTGCACATGAATTTAATTTTTTTGGACCACGTTTGGTACAGAACTTAAACCGAATGAAAAAATTAATTAATTAATCTTGAATCAATCTTGGTGTTTAAAATTTAATTTTCACTCATCGTTTTATGGAAAAGACAGATGAGGAAGTCTTTATAGTTAATACCGGAGGCCAAATAACGTGCATTTATTTATTCACATTCATACAACTTACTTGTCACTAGACATTTCCCGTTGGCCGGTAGACATTTTAAAGCTCTGGAAATAAGTTCATTTTTTGTGCACCATGATCTTGCACTTCAGTCATTCTTTTCCGCTTCAATTTCCCTAGAACTGATTTATACGCATGTAACTACACTCATGTGCAAAATTAAGAGACTTTGCACATTATGTTTATTTTTGAGAAAGTTATTGAACCAAAAGTACTAATTATGCTGGCGAAGAACTATGCAAATATTCGAGTCGACAAGAGTATACGTGCCTACAAGCACACGTAAGCCTACAAGCGTACACGTGCGTATCTGCGGAGAGAATTAAGCGCGCGAGGGGTCTTCGCCGATTTGTGTGCTCGTACTTCTTCACGACATTTGCTGTGTTTCTTGCAGAAGTTGAGAAATTTTATTAGTCATCAGGTAAAGTGAGTAGCCATGAACGTGTGAATGACAGAATCAGATGAATTGTTCTGTATATTGGATGCAGGCCAATCACCATGCGCAGGTGCTACAGAGCTCAGTGTAAGGCTTAGTGTGTTCTGCAATTTGTGGACACAGTTTCAAGACACTGGATCCATATCAGAGACCTAGAAAAGGTCGACCAAGATCCGTAATGACAAATGAGGATCGTTATTTGGCACTTTCGGCTCGACGACGCAGGTTTGCTACAGCTTCACAGCTCTCATATGAGCTGTATGCTGCGACTGGAATTCGAGTTTCACTGTATGCAATTGCCGAACATTTTATGAGATAGGGCTGTATGCCAGAAGACCCACTGTTTGCGTTCCGCTCACTGCAGCGCACAAGAGAGCGCGTTTAGCATAGTGCAGACAACATGCGCCTTAGATCAGACTTCAGTGACGCACCATGCTCTATATAGATGAGTTGACATTCCGCCTAGACACTGATTCTCGGCGTATCTGTACCCGGAAAAGAGTTTGAAACCCGATACCATCCCTTCCTCATCAGAGAAAAGATCATTACGGTGGTGGAAGTGTAATAATTTGGGTGTCTGTTGGATGGTCACATACCTTTGCATGTGTTTCATAAAGGTTCCTAACTGTTATGATGTATTGAGAGAAGATTTTAGAGATGTATTGAGAGGAGATTTTGAGGGGCGCAGTTGGGCTTGTGTTCGTGTTAATGGACAGTCGTTCACATAGGGCCCAGCTGTTCGACGATTACCTGGAAAATGAAGATATTCACAGCATAGATTGGCCAGCCAGATCTCCTGACGCATAGAGTATGTCCGAGACGCTCTTGGGAGGGCGATTTCATCTCGCCATCCCGGTCCCAGAACCACCCCGCAGTTGAAAATTGCGTTGACTGCGTTGAAAATTAGGATAGACTGGCTCTTATCCTCAACTCAGAGATTCCTCAACTATTTTGTGTCCAGTATGCTGTCGCGCTGCAATACCTATCTGGCTGTGAGAGGGGGACCTTATTTTATATTAGGCTAATTTTCAGTTCGATATCACATTGTGGATTTTGGACATCCCTGCACTATGGGCTTGAATGGTACATCGTTTTCGCTGTTACAAATGAATATTCATACCAAATTTCATAGTTTTTCATAAATTCAATATAATGTGCAAATTCTCTTAATTTTGCACACGAGTGTGTGTATGTGAAAACACACTAAAATATGTGTGAAAAACACAGTAAAAGACTGAACCTAAAATAGTAGATGCACCAATACAGAATATGCCAATGGAGTGTGAAAAACCTACGTTGTATTCTAATCACTAACCCCCCCTCCCAAAATTACAGTGATTGTGTCAGCTATATATAACAACGAAATTCGGTTTTAAAGGGTAAGAATGTAAAATGCTAATGACTTTCAAAGCTAAGAATTGTTTATTAAAATATTTGTGTGATCTGCAATTCACCAAAGTACGGTTCCATGGAACATAAAATATTCACAGTTCATATTTAATTCACATATAATTAATAAAAGTTGATAAAGCGTTGATAGCCTATTAATAAAAATCTCACCGTAAGTGAATTACAGCTTTTTATTTATTATTCTCTATGATTAACAGTAGTCACCAGAATGCCATTTTAATCCGGTTGGAAGCTTTACAGTAAAGCCATCGCTGCTCAGTGGTATTGGAAAGGAGTATTTATCAGTGTTTTTAAAAATGAACTCTGTCAAATGATGGCTTCGCTTCATCACACAGTCTTTGGAGTAGTAGCTATTATTCTTCGTAACATACCTCTAGAAATATTGGTGATGGCAACTCAGGTGTAATCTTTAAATTCAACAATGATGCCACAACGTGTTTGAAAAATTTGTTGCTTGAAATACCATCCATAAGAAGCTTAGGTTTGTTTAGCTTATGGTGGCAAACGACATGATGATAATCTGCCTAGGAAAGAGATATCATTGTGAAGACTTTCTGACTCGTATTCGTGTTACACATGGAAAAAAACTCCCGAACAGTCAGAGAGCCCTGGCCAAACTCTCAGTGTTCAGCAGTCTTATTCACGCTGTGTTACTCCATATAAAATTTAGAATCGTTATCCTTTAATCTAAGAAAATAAAACCATGCAGGTAGAACTAGAAACCTGTTATTCTTAAAATAAATTTCAACAGTGAAAAATAGCGATTTGCAGTTCAGCTGTCCACGCTGAACGAACAAACTAAAAGCAGCACATGTGTAAAAGAATGCGAGTCTTCTGGCGCACATTGTTGCATAACATCCATTTGTACAATGTAGTTCTCTGAAAAATCAACAGAAAATCGCCGGTTAAAATTATTTCACCCAAATACAGTTTGATTCCGATTAGCCGAACCGAGTAAGGCTGAGATGTATTCGGATAATCGATTTTCATATTTAAAATAAAAAACTGAGTATTGCGTATTTAATTTATTATTTTAACAAAATGTTCTATAAAACGCTGCTGCACCCCATAGGTTCGGAAAATTTGACTCTGCTGGTGCTGTTACAAGTAATAGTTTGAATTTTTAAATGCAAGTAGAAGTAAATGCAGCCATGCTATAGTATAGATTTTTAACAATTATAAATTTGAAAATTATAGTTAAAATTTTAGTTTCGAACTGATTCCAAACATGCCGTGTACGCAATCCTCACAGTAATAATAAATAAATAAATAAAAGCGACGACAAAATAATTTTATTTCCGTTTCTGTGACTTACTGCAGAGGCAATGCTACTTTTAGAAGTACATTTAGGACACATTGTTTACTGAATGACACTATGGTTATGTATAGTTTTAATCTGCAGTAGAAAAATAAGTATCTGCTAATACAGACTGTTTGTAATGAATTAATGAAAAGGTGGAATGGTTAATGTGATCCGAGTTTGTTGGTCCTCGCATTAGTTACACATGGAATGCTAAAATATTGCTATGAATTTTGTATTTAGATAGCTAATGTTAGTAGAATTATAATTAAAATTGTTTTATTTCTCAGCGCGAAACGAGTTTTAAGAGAAAGCTATGCTGAAAAAGTAAAAATACAAGAAATGCATTTAACACTGAATAAAGGTTTATCTCTGTAATTTATATTTAATTTGAAAAAATGTAATTGGCTACTATGTTAGCTGTAACCGTAATTCTACTCTTTTGCTTTCCAGAAATCTCGAGAAGCAGAAATTACCAGAAATTTCTCGCGACCGATTAAAAGCTATAAAAGCCAGAGAGATAACATCTCAGTTCAGTTTTTAGTTAGCTATTGTTATTTTTGTGAATTCGGTGTGAGATCGGATTAACTTTCTCTTTGCGTTGCGTTATACTCTCGGAGTCTGAAGTATAAGTACTAATCACATTGCATGATATTATGAACACTTGTACGAGTATCTCTGTGGAAAAATTCCAGCTTTCTGTTATATTTCTTTTGATAAGAATAAATTTTATTAATCTTTTATCCGACTTATGCATTCAATCTGTTACGTACCCGTACGCATGCAACAATATTTTTTATGCAAGAATATCTTATTTATATATTTTTACCCTGGTAAGCTTATAATTTATTTGTAAGGCAAGTTTTAATTTATTATTATTCACTATTATTACCTCATCAAGCAGAGCCCATGCACCCAAAATCCAAGCGCTCAATCAGTTAGATGAAAACAACCACTATGTGGACGAATTCATTTTAAAATATAAGCGGAGCTCGATTTCTGAACTCCTTGAAGTTGAAAATTACGTGAAGATTTAATTTTGAGATCCTTACGCTAAAAAGCTACGTGAAAAATTTCGCAGGGTATAAAATATGTGAAAAAATACGGTAACACATGCACATGCTCACTATATAATTTTTCTCCTCACTCTCCTTTATTTTTGTATAACTTTTCGTATCTCTTGTAGACACGAATAAATATTTCCCATTTGCAAATTCGAAATTTGGTCGACCCTCTGTTTCCCTGCCGTAATATACGACGAAATCTGAAAAATCAAACTGAAACTTCTGATTACTTATCAAGCTTGCTTACTTCTTTAATAATTCGCAAATCTCTGCCATATTTGAGTTCGGTGTCCACAAACTCAATAATTATCTCCTTCCTCTCACAGCGGCGGAACTCGCATTTCCGACAAACGAGAGGGCTGAACAGCAGCCCAGAATCTTCATCCTCTACTGGCTCCACCTGGTGATCACAATCGGCACAAAGCTGCTCTTCCCAGTCAGCAGGCAGAAGCTTCATGCGAGGGGGTTTACTGGTTTCAGTTCCAACCCCGCTGTCATTCCTTTCCACTTCGGAGATGCGAGAACTCTGAAAAATCAACAGAAATCTCCGGTTAAAATTATTTCACCCAAATACAGTTTGGTTCCGATTATCCGAGCCGAGTAGGGCCGAGATATATTCGGATAATCGATTTTCATATTTAAAATTAAATACTGAGTATTGCAAATAAAGCATTTATCATAGACAATTTACTTTAAATAAATATATATTTATTTTCAGTCGTAAAATATTTTATTTTCACATTAAATTATATTTTTCACCAAAACCAAAAGGAAAGGTGAAAATACCCGTCAACAACATTATGTATTTTTAAAAAATTTTCCTACATTATCGGCCACTGCTACGGTGTCTACTCTTTCACGTTTTTTAAATTGCAAATAATTGCTCACTTGTCTTAATTAAAAATATTAATTTACGACACAATAACACGCCGAATAAATACTAATTCAGAAGTCAAACAACAAAATCAGCGTTAATTTACAAAACTTTCACAGGATTAGTTTCGATGGTTTTACCGAACCATCATCCTTCAACTGCCAAAACCGCAAATGAACAAAAGAGGAAATAAGTTTAAGAAAGATCTGAAAGCCTGGACAAGATTAAGCTAAGTGGCGCCATCTGTTGGCGAAAACGAGAACTAAAACATAAATTCTCTTAAAGGCTGAAAGGCAAAGATTGGATTGCAATTAGGAGTCGTTAACTAGAACAGAAAGATTTTTATTCTTTTTGAATGTGGAAATGGCCTCTAGAAAATCCAGTTCTCCAATGGAAGATGTTTTTTGAATAATTTTGGCAGCAGAAAAATTGAAAGTGTGATTTTCGGACCAACAATGTTGAGCCAACAGAAGACTTCTGTGTTTCCTTTTTTCCTAACATATGCCTCATGTTCCTTTGACAGCGAAATTTTAAGATCCTCTTAGTTTGGCCAATGTAAATTAAACCACACTGGCAAGGAATCCTATAAATACCCCAGGAATTCATATCCGGAATGGGGTCCTTGAGTATAGAAGTTGGAATTTTATTGATGGGAGAGTAAACAACCCGTAAGTTAAATTTCTGCAAAATATGTGCAACTTTATAGCTAATTGATGGAAAGAAGGGAATGACAACAGAATTTTTATAATCTCCTAAATAAGAGTGTGGCTTTTAGTGTGTTGAGATGAGAATTTTTTAACTGCTTGATTAATAATGTTGGGTGAAAAGCCCCTGTCAATAGCTATTGCTGTTAAATAATTTAGTTTTCATCAAGGGCTAGTTTGGAGGAGCAAACTTGAAGAGCACGGAAAACATAGGAATAAAATGAAGCTAACTTTTGTTTAGTCGGATGACATGATTTAAAGTGTGGTGGAAGGCAAACCGATGAAGGTTTACGGTAAACTGTAGTACTGAAGTTGGATGTGTTACGTGTGACCAGAATGTCGAGAAACGGAAGAGAATTGCAAGTCTCAAGTTCAAAAGTGAACTGAATAGCAGGATCAATAGAATTCATTGTTGAAAGAACTCTATTTAAATCATCTTTATTACCTTCAAACAGGGTAAAAGTATCGTCTACGTAGCGGAACCATGCCGGGAAGTTTAAAGTTTCAAACAATTTTGATTCATAATAATGCATGTAGATATCAGCCAGGATGGGACTGAGGGGGCTTCCCATGGCTAATCCCTCAGTTTGCTTGTAATATTTATTTTGGAAAACAAAATGTGTTTGTTTCAAACAGAGTTGAGTGAGAGAAATTAGCTCATCAATTTCGATGCAAGAGAAATGAAATTCTTATCCAAAATAAAAACTGCGATCAAATCTTCGCAAATCATTTCAAGCAACTTAAAACATTCGCTTATCCCATCTGTTGCGAATTGTGCCAGATTATATGCTCTTCCCAAAATTCATAAAAGTGGTATTCCTTTCCGCCCTATTGTATCAAATTTAGGTACTGCCTCGTATCCATTAGCTAAATATTTAGTTTCTAGATTTTCCACTCTATTAGACAATAACATTTACACCATAAAAAATTCAATAGAGTTTGTAAAAAAGGGTTAAAAACATTTCTCCTCGTAATTTACTCATGGTTTCTTTTGATGTAAAATCATTATTCACCAATGTCCCAGTGGAGGGTGCATTAAGATGTCTAGAAACCAGACTTCGCGAATTTCATTTCTCTTGCATCGAAATTGATGAGCTAATTTCTCTCACTCAACTCTGTTTGAAACAAACACATTTTGTTTTCCAAAATAAATATTACAAGCAAACTGAGGGATTAGCCATGGGAAGCCCCCTCAGTCCCATCCTGGCTGATATCTACATGCATTATTATGAATCAAAATTGTTTGAAACTTTAAACTTCCCGGCATGGTTCCGCTACGTAGACGATACTTTTACCCTGTTTGGTCTGGTTTCTAGACATCTTAATGCACCCTCCACTGGGACATTGGTGAATAATGATTTTACATCAAAAGAAACCATGAGTAAATTACGAGGAGAATGTTTTTTAACCTTTTTTTACAAACTCTATTGAATTTTTTATGGTGTAAATGTTATTGTCTAATAGAGTGGAAAATCTAGAAACTAAATATTTAGCTAATGGATACGAGGCAGTACCTAAATTTGATACAATAGGGCGGAAAGGAATACCACTTTTATGAATTTTGGGGAAGAGCATATAATCTGGCACAATTCGCAACAGATGGGATAAGCGAATGTTTTTAAGTTGCTTGAAATGATTTGCGAAGATTTGATCGCAGTTTTTATTTTGGATAAGTCCGAAGGTGAAGGATCTTTTAGGGATCGGATTATATGGTCCTTCGTTTAAGAGTTTAGTGACACCATCGATGTAAGTGTTCTTATCCATGACGACTATCTGGCCACCTTTGTCGGCCTTTGAAATGACAATATCCGGGTTAGAATGAATCTCGCGCATTGTAGCTCTTTCTCTCTCGCAGTTAGATTTGGTTTCAAAGGTTTATTATTGAATTTCACATTATGAGCGATAAGATGCCTAATCATTTCTTTCTGTGAATCTGAAACTTTACTGAACTTGAAAGCTTTTCGATAGGAGCCAAAATCTTTGGAATCGAGGGTTTTTACAGGTTTGTGAGAAGTTAAAATTATATTTTAGAATTCTCTCTTGTTCTTCTGAAAGACTAACATTAGAAATATTAACTATTGGCTTGATGTTTACAATGGGAAGATTTTTTGAACTACTTGAACTGGAAGACTGTAAAAGAAGTTTTTCGAATTTAACTGCAAGGGTGTTTTTATGACGGTTAACTGCATTCTCCGTTCTAGACCAAGACTTTTGTTCAAGGACAGTGAATTTTGGATATGTTTTAGCGAGTTCCAGATGAAGCTTATAGAGTTCATGTTCAATTTTGGACAATTGTTGACGTGTATCCCTTATCACGGACCGAAGTAAGGCAAGTTTGCAATTTAACAGAATTCTTGAAACGCGACTCGAAGGTTTTTGATTAGATTTGATTTGAATAAAATTGGGATCAATTTTTTACATTTACATTTAAGTAAAAAGTCAAGATGATTCAGGAATTTTTGCCGTTTCAGGCGTAATTTAGTGAAACGATTAACGGATGAAGGCATGATAAACAATGCAGAAAATCAAACTAAATTAACTGAGCAATAATAAAGTACACACAAAATAGCAGAAAAATCCCTCACTGAAATGAATAGAAAACAAAATGTTTGTAAGCAAAATGCATGAAATCAGACAAGCAAAGCACAATATCCAAATGTACAAAACATAAACGTAACTTGTAAATGTTAAAACATAAACGTAACCTTTGAAACCAAATCTAACTGCGAGAGAAAGAGCTACAATGCGCGAGATTCATTCTAACCCGGATATTGTCATTTCAAAGGCCGACAAAGGTGGCCAGATAGTCGTCATGGATAAGAACACTTACATCGATGGTGTCACTAAACTCTTAAACGAAGGACCATATAATCCGATCCCTAAAGATCCTTCACCTTCGGACTTATCCAAAATAAAAAACTGCGATCAAATCTTCGCAAATCATTTCAAGCAACTTAAAACATTCGCTTATCCCATCTGTTGCGAATTGTGCCAATTATATGCTCTTCCCAAAATTCATAAAAGTGGGTATTCCTTTCCGCCCTATTGTATTCAAATTTAGGTACTGCCTCGTATCCATTAGCTAAATATTTAGTTTCTAGATTTTCCACTCTATTAGACAATAACATTTACACCATAAAAAATTCAATAGAGTTTGTAAAAAAGGTTAAAAACATTTCTCCTCGTAATTTACTCATGGTTTCTTTTGATGTAAAATCATTATTCACCAATGTCCCAGTGGAGGGTGCATTAAGATGTCTAGAAACCAGACTTCGCGAATTTCATTTCTCTTGCATCGAAATTGATGAGCTAATTTCTCTCACTCAACTCTGTTTGAAACAAACACATTTTGTTTCCAAAATAAATATTACAAGCAAACTGAGGGATTAGCCATGGGAAGCCCCCTCAGTCCCATCCTGGCTGATATCTACATGCATTATTATGAATCAAAATTGTTTGAAACTTTAAACTTCCCGGCATGGTTCCGCTACGTAGACGATACTTTTACCCTGTTTGAAGGTAATAAAGATGATTTAAATAGAGTTCTTTCAACAATGAATTCTATTGATCCTGCTATTCAGTTCAGTTTTGAACTTGAGACTTGCAATTCTCTTCCGTTTCTCGACATTCTGGTCACACGTAACACATCCAACTTCAGTACTACAGTTTTACCGTAAACCTTCATCGGTTTGCCTTCCACCACACTTTAAATCATGTCATCCGACTAAACAAAAGTTAGCTTCATTTTATTCCTATGTTTTCCGTGCTCTTCAAGTTTGCTCCTCCAAAAAACTAGCCCTTGATGAAGAACTAAATTATTTAAAAGCAATAGCTATTGACAGGGGCTTTTCACCCAACATTATTAATCAAGCAGTTAAAAATTCTCATCTCAACACACTAAAAGCCACACTCTTATTTTAGGAGATTATAAAAATTCTGTTGTCATTC